GGAGCGGGATTGACTACAAGTGCTACCAAGTGCAGCGGGGCTGCCGTAGCTTTAGCGTCAGAGGAAGACGTTCGACTCAAAGAGTCACTAATACTAAGTTCCTTATCCAAAGGACACTTACAGCCCAAGACCAGGGCTCAAAGTTAACACCTTAACTTTTATGCTTCAAAACCAGAAGTGTTTTATTTACTATTATTGCGGCCAAGCCGCCTAGGGGTAAATGTATCTCTTTAACTATCTAGCATAGTTAAACCTAATCAAATGCATAACGTGTGGCTTTCAGCCAACGTACTGAGATACCTTGTTAACTCTCCAACTTATGTACTGAGAGTTTGTTAACTCTCCGGGTACTTCGTACCCCTGTGTGCTCCACACCATGTAACCCCGTTACAGCTCTTGCCGGCGAAGGGGCAGTTCCATCTTGCGCAGATGTCGCTTGCTGTTCCAATACAGTCAAGCCCACCATAAGTTAGTTGTTATGTTGGAAGGCTGCTGAAGCAGATGAGATTATGTTGACTGGTCAGCATTTGACTTACCTCAATCTCGTCAAACGCTTCGATTGAATCTACTGCCAGTAGCTGCTCCATCAATTCCTCAAAAAACGAGAAGTGTTTTGGCGGGCGCCTGCTGTTTACCTTTCGATAGTGTCGATGAACGATAAACGCGTTCACGAGCGCCATATCCAGAAGCCCCAGAAACAGAGTCTTGTAGTACTTGCGTGTTTTGTAGCAAAGTTGCACGCTGTAACGTTGCAACCGGAGTTGATCATGGACGTCGACTCCACCCATCCAGCGGTGGTAGTCGCGAACAAGCTCTGGAGCCGGCACCGGCGTCATTTCTCCGTGGATGCGTCTCACTAGAATACAAATACAATTAGTGCTAACACCCAAATGGGAACCCAATGCATGTAGTACGTACTCACGGTGCCGGTTTGGCGGCTGCCCCCACTTGAGAGCAGGTGCACCGGGTTACGGTCCATCCACATGGCAGCAGTTAGTTGCGGAAACATCTTGTTTTGAGCCAGCTTGATGGTACCTTGCGGAGGCACCAGTACCTCGCGCCTGTTCACATTTTTTTTTCTTTTTCGTAGTGATCACTCCAGGAGCGTAACCTAATCTATCCGTCTGTATCGTCCCCGTTAGATACATCCGATAATGAAGCAGCTCCAGCGCCAGCTTGACCGACGTGTAGAAACGGTCGGTGACGACTAATCTCCATGGAGACGTCGGTGACGGAGATAAGAGAGCTTTCATGTTTCGAAGTACAGCCGCTTCTCCAGTGTTGTTATCCTTTGGAACAGGAGTACGTAGATGTGGCTTCGCCCCGCAATAAATCTCAATTCTAGCAGGCAAACACATCAACAGAGACGATTATGTTAATATTATGTTGTATCAACAGATGGCGCAGTATTCTTATGTTGGACAAGTCAACATAAGTACTTGGGCCAAAAAAAAGGCAAGCCGAAGCTTGCCTCAAGTTACCTCATGCAGTACGCGGTCTTGGCACACGCAGCAACAAACACCTTCGTCTCCCACTTGTGGGGCTTGTCCTTGTTGAAGATCCTCATGGGATTGTATCGCGAGCGCGAAGGCAGTGTTGCTTCATCGAAGCTGATGACTGGGGGAGCTCTGTATCCACGAGCGAATGTTCGCTGTAGCACATCGAGCACCGGTCGAATCTTCCACGCTTGGTCCGTACGGGCTTGTGGCGACTTGTTGCTCGAAAAGTGTAGATATCCCATGATATGAAAAAAACGATTCTTTCCCATCACGAGACTGAAGCGGTTTGACGGTAGAACTCCAACTTTCTTCATTGACCAATGCGCTGCAATGCCTTTCCGGATGGGGACCAACATACGTGCAATCAGCAATGCCATAACTTGAAGGACCTCGTAAGTTTGTATTTCTTCAACTGCTGACAACCGCCGTCTGATCTCAGCAAGATCTTCTGCTTCGCCACCACTACGCTGTTGCTGTCTGCGAATTGAGCGGGCCCTCGTAGGGATTGACTGAGTATGATAGCGGTTGCTTTCGACAGCAATTTGGGACCAAATCTTCGGCGGCAGGAAAAAGAAGAGCAATGCCAGCGGATCGTCCCCAAGGCGTAGCACGCTGTCACTTGGTCGGGTACGGCCCATCATACAACCCAGCATACGTTGGGTCAGGTCCAAATTTTAGTCCCGTCTAGATCCAACACACAAGGACAAAAACTATGTTAGCCTTTATGTTAACTCAGAAACAAAATGAAAGGATTATCTTGGATTCGGCCAACATAACGTACCATACTCCCAGCCATCGGTACGCATTGCAGTGATCAGTGGTGCGTTATTCGCTGCGGATAACCACGCCGTGTTTGGAAGCTCCTCGATGTCGTGGTCCGAATCTTCATCTGTCAGCTCTCCAATGTCCCAGTCACCGTCCCAACTATCGTCATCAGCATCCTCTTCGTCTCCAGGTTCCTCACGAAGCTCTGGGTCCTCGTCGGAGTTGAGCCCGGTGCATTCGTCAGCTCCTTCGTCCATAAAGTTAGGGTCTGTGTCAATAACACACGCAGGTACACTGTGCACAACGTCTGCTTCGTAAACACTCTCGTCTTCGTCACCTTGCATTCTCTGTTCACCATACATCACGTACGTTGGATATTATGTTAGACATGTTGTCAGCCACAATCCTTCTAGGTTGGATAAACGAACAAAACGCACCGTGTCATCGTCGCCATCGCTGTCTTCTTGTAGGAGAGCGCGGCGATGCTCTCTTGTCGGCACTTGAGTACTACGCTTTTCGTTTTTCAGCACTGGGATCCAGTAGTTAGCTAACGCGATACCAGACTGTTGGGCCAGGGCAGCGCAGTCTCAACGCTTCAAAACCATGTCCGCGACGACTTCTGTCACCTCCGTCTCGTGGTCTGCTTCCACCTCCATCGCATCCGCTATCGCGGTTGTCTCTAACGTCTCCTTCGCTTCAGCAATCGTCTGGTTTCGCGAGCCCTCTTTTTCGCCCGCCGTGTCTGCAACCTGAGCACTTGCTGAAGGAATATACAGACCTTTATACTGCGCCACCTCCATATCTGCCGTTGTGCGCTTGGCAGCCTTCTTCTTTGTTGCCTTCTTCGCCTTCGTCTGCCATGCTCCATCGCTGCCGCTCTTCTGCTCTGTCCGTCGAATGCTGCGCTCGTGACGCTCACTTAGCAGAGCCTCGCGACAGAGGCGCCTTTCTTGCTCGGTGAGGTGGTGACGCGGTGTCTTGGGTGTCGGTGCAACCATGTTGCTATCGGCCGTCGTTTTGAAGAGTGAGGAGGTTGGTGGCTGGTGGCCACTCGCTCGATAGTGGGTGTGTACCTCCCTTTTCTAACTCATTCAACCAAACTAAACCTAAGCCTGTGCATGTGACCGTTTTACACTCATATCAATGACTTCATTTCACTATAGCGGGGAAAGGGGGGATATGGACCGTTGCCCCATACAAAATTCAGGTATAAGATTTGCTTATGTTGGACCTCCAACATAAAATAAAAGGTGCAACAGAAGTGAATTAGGGTATACACCCCTTATGTTGGAAGATCCAAAAGTGGGAATTGATTGGGAATTGAACTTTTTTGTACTGGTACCTTGGCAGTAGTCGCATAGATGCTGCGAAGTAGTGGTGCTTTGTCTTGGTTAAAGTAAACAGGTTATCGGTACCAAAATGGTGAATACCGATTTCCTGTGAAGCTCAGTAATTCCCACTTTGGTAACCGGGAATTGGGGGGCAGACGAGACTGGGGCCAAATTCAAAACAAGGTATTTTCTATTCGAGAGTCCCCTATCTTGATTTGCACATGCAGATATTGCGAAATTTCTCAGCTGTACCTGAATTATTCTCCGCGATCCGTGATTGGAGGAAAACTCAACTTCTTAGCTTTTCAACCTTTTAACTGAGAGAAACCGGTACTTCATTTCAGTACCGATATTAGTACTTGATCCATGCGGAGGTCGCTTAAGTACGACGTCGGCATATTGAATGGCGAGCGATAGTCTGCGATAGTCTGGGGCGGTGTCATTGGTTGTTCCTTTTGATCGCCGTGGTCTTCCCAATAGTATATCTGTAGCTGACGATGTCGGCTGTGGACGTGGCTTCCTCCTCCTCTCCTGTCGAGACCGACGACGCCGGCAGGACGATGGTGGCCGTGGGCGGCATGCAAAACATGGCGTGGGCCTCGGACACTTCCAAGTTTGGTTTCAAGATGCTGGTCAAGATGGGCTGGTCGGCCGGGAAGGGTGTGGGTAAGGAACTACAGGGTCAGGCCACGCACGTCAAGATTGCACGCCGCTCGGAAAATTTGGGCGTGGGCTGCAGTCTCAAGCAGGCGGAAGTCCAGGGCTGGTCGCAGACGGCTGGTGGCTTCGCGGACGTGCTCAAGACGCTCAACAAGTCGTACGGCAGTAAGTCGAGCTCGGATGCAGACAGTTCGGACGAGGGATCCAACAGCAGCAGCAGCAAAAAGGCTAAAAAGACCAAGAAGGAGAAGAAGATCAAAAAAGAGACGAAAGTTAAAAAGGAGAAGAAGGCTAAGAAGAGCAAAAAAGCTAGCGGCGAAAAGGCCACTGTCTCGAGACGGCTGCACTACCGCAAGCGTCAGTCCAACAAGGACGCCAAGAACTACGGCGCAGTCGAGATGGCGGCCATCCTGGGCGTCGCGTCCTCGACCTACAAACCAGCTGCCGAGTAGACCCGACTGTCCTTCCTTTCTTCAAGTTCTCCAGCGCTGCTGACGCGTCTGGTAAACGACTATTTAGAGCCTGTCAGGCCAATACATAGCAAACTTTCATTGACACTGTGTGTTCCTTGACATGCACCATTAATATTTGAGGCTTCGTAAAACGCTCTTCAATTCAATGGCTTGAAAATTCTTGTATAATATGATTACCTCTACCTTTCAGATATCTATGTAAAAACTGTTAAATCCGATATTGATGGCCACTGGTTGTGAAGAGCCATTGCGGCATTGGCCAGTGGAGCAGGATGGCGAGCGTATTTGTGCGCAATCTGCCGTTTGGCGTGACGCAGGAGGAACTGGAGCACGTGTTCAGCGAAATCGGCCCCGTTAGGAAGATCGATGTCATCAAGGATAAGGGCAAACGCAAGAGCGAGATGCTCACGCGCGGATTCGCCTTCGTGAAGTTGTACGTCTTCAGTTGGTAATGGCGAGAACATTGGCAACATTAACACTCATGCTACGGATACCGCAGTGCCGTGGAGAGCGATGCAGCGGTGGCCGTCGAGAAACTTAACAAAACGGACTTCCAGGGACGCAAGATGCTCATCGGTGTGTTTGCTAGGCTTAATAAAGACCTGAAAGCATTGACTGACCATTTCAATGCTTTGATAGACTATGCTATGGAGAAGGGAAAGCGTCGTGGACTGCCTGGAAAGGAGAAACCTGCTACTGATGAACCCAAGCAGGACGAGAAAGAACAGGAGGATGTACCGATGGGGCAACCTGCACTGCCAGACGAGGTTGAGAAGGCCAC